TGCATTGGGAAAGTCTGCTGTCAGAGATCTCTCCAGAGTACTGTCAGTCTGGAGACTTAAGTTACACCTGATTGAGACCATAATCTTTGCAGTTAATTGCTATGCATCAGAGAGCTGGCCAATGACTAGAGATGACAGAAGGAGAATTGGTGCCTGTGAGCTGTGGTACTCGAGACGAGTATTGATTATACTATGGACTGCTGCCAAGAGAAAAAACAGGTTCATCCTGGAGAGGGTGAAGCCAGGCTGCTCCTTAGAGGCAAGAATTCTGAAACTTTATCTGACATACTTTGGACATGTTGCTAGAAGGGACGAGTCCTTGGAGAGGGACTTAATGCTTGAAAGGGTGGAGGAACAGCACAAGAGAGTAAGACCCTCAATTAGATGGATTGATTCAATGAGTGTGGTAATGGGGGTAGGTGTGTCAGTGAGGTAGGAGACAGTGAGGTTGGCACAGGATAGAGCAGGGATCAGAACTGTTGTATATAGGAATGACACGTAACAACAAAACAACAACAAAGTGCAGGGGAATGATTATATGAAACACAATATGAATGAAGAATAGTGTGAACACGAACTTAGTGAGCGAACCAATTAAATTTGGAAGCAAATTTTCTTTAGGAAGAAAACAAGTATCAATATCTTCAGTTGTTATACTCTTACACCATTAAGCCCCCTTAACAATTTGGTGAGCTTTGGTGGCTTCTTGTTATTGTTTTAAGTGGTCATCAAATCAAGTATGATTCATAGTGACTCAATAAACAGCAGATCTGAACACTGTCATATTCTGTTCCATCATCACAATTTCTAATACAGTTGAGTCCATTGCTGTAGTCACTGTGTCAGCGCATCTGGTTGAGGGTCTTCCTCTTCTTTTCCTCTGTCTTTGTAAGTGTGATGCCATTCTGCTAGCAATATGCCCAAAGTATGTGAGAAAACACTTCATCATCTTTGCCTCCGAGGAACTCTCTGACTGTGCCTTCTCCAAAACATATCTGTTTGTTCTTTTGGCAGTCCATGGAGTATTCATTACTCTTCTACAACATCACAGTTCAAAGGCATCAATTCTGTCATTCTTAGTCAATGTCCAGCTCTAAGATGCATACCAAGTTATTAATTGTCAGTCCAAGTAAGATGAGGTTTTGACAGTTTGAAACTCTTCTCCATCTATCATGATGTTACCTATTGGTCCAATGGAGAGAATTTCTGTTTCTTGACGTTGAGATGCAATCCATATTTAAGGATGCAGTATTTTATATTCTGCAGCAAGTACTTCAAATCCTCCTCACTTTCAGCAAGAAAGATTGTGTCTTATGCGTAATGAAGGTTATTGATGAGTCTTCCCCTGATCTTGATTCATTCTTTTTTCACAGAGTCAAGCTGCTCAAATAATTTTATCAGCATACAGATTGAATAGGTATGGAGAAAGGATACCACCCTGACATATGTCTATCTTCATTTTAAACCATGTAGTGTCCCTTGCTCTGGTCTCATAACTACTTTTTGGTTCAGGCATAGGTTTTGCTTGAGCACAATGAAGTGTTGTGGGATTCCCATTCTTCTCAATGTTAACCATAATTTGCTATGATCCACACAGTCAAATGTTTTTGTCTAATCAATAAAGCACAAGTGGGCATTGTTCTGATATTCTTTTACTTCAGCTAATATTTATCTAACATCGCAATGATGTTTGTGGTGCCATGGCCTCTTTTAAATCCAGCTTGAACTTCTGGCAATTCTCTGTCAGTATCCTGTTCTGTTTTTGAATGTTGTTCAACAGTATTTTGCGTGCATGTGATATTAATAATATTGTTCATTAATTTCCACATTCTGTTAGATGACTTTTCTTGAGAATTAGAAAAATTATGAATCTCTTCTAGTCAGCTGGCCAGGCAGCTATTCTCCAAATTTCCTGGCATAGACTAGTGAGTGTGTTCATAGCTGCATCTGTTAGTTGAAACATGTCCATTAGTATTCCAGTTAATTCTTGGGGATTTATATTCAGCCAATGCCTTCAGTACAGCTTGAAAGTCTTCCTTGATTACTGTTGGTTCTTAATCATATGGTACCTCTGGAAATATTTCATAGATGGATGACCAATTCTTTTTGGAACATTGATTCTGTATATTTCCTTTATCTTAGTTGGTTCTTCTTGGGTTATTCTTGATTTTGCCCATAGCATCTCTGAGTATTGCAACTTGAATTTGTTTTTCAGCTTGAGAAATCCCAAGAAAGTTCTTACCTCTTTATTCTCTGATTCTAGATATCTGCACATTCCATTATTGTAGTTTTGTTTTGTCTTCTCGTGCTGCCTTTGGAATCTTCTGTTCAGCTTTTTACTTCAACATCTCTTCCCTTTGTTTTGATTTCTCTAGTGCAATTTTTTCTCTAGTACAGCTTTCAGCATCACAGAACAAGCAAGCAGAGGCAATGTAAGAAAGCATTTTCATCCCGTTTCTGCCATCTCCTTCCACGCAGAACTGCTGTCTTTAGTGGCCACTGCTGTCCAAGCTTAAGACCCCGTATAGCTGGGGGTTTTTATTTTTCTATTTTTCATGAAGCATTCCATATTTTTAATGGTGATTAATTTTATAAAACATAGTGCATGGGAATGATTTTGCAAAACACAATGTGAATGAAGAATAGTGTGAAACACAATGCATATCAACATTGCAAGCAAACTAATATAAACTTAAATTTTAATTTAATATTAAAACAGAAAGGATATATGTGTGTGTTTATTCTAATAAAACATAATTCAAATCACTAGATTTATAGAATTGTGCAGCTGAAGTAGACTCCAAAGATTATGATGTCAGAACTCTTTTGTGTGATAGCTCAAGAAACAGAGATAAAAGTTTGATTACTTTTTCTTGGTCAATCATCAAACCAAAGAAGGATGTAAACAGGTAACTGAGGAGTTTTGATTGTTGATCCAGTATACTCTCTATTGCTCAGTTTGCTTAGGAGCATTTATGGTAGCTCTGGAGACAAACTGTCATTCAGGATCATACTTCCAGTTATTTCCCCATACAGTTTTTAAAAATAATATTTTTCTTTGTTTCTACTGAAAGTTTACACAGCTCTTTAAGTTCCATATCATAGTGTCCACGCAAATTGTTCAATTAAATTAATTAAATCACAACATGTCAAAATTTTACCCACTTCTGCCAGCCTAGAGTGTGTCTGGAGGCATTGGGACCTACTAACAGTCAGGCAAAGATGGTGAAGATTCGCCTTTCTTTCTTTGGATATGTAGCTAGGTAAGGCTATTCCCTGGAAAAGGACACGATGCTTGGAAAGATAGAGGGCCAGTGTAGGAGAGAAAGACTCCTAATGAAATGATTGACATGGTAACTTCAGCATTGGTCTCCAGTATTTAAAAAATGATGAGGATCGTGTAGAATAGGGCAGGGTTCAGGTTGGCTGCTCATAAGATTGCTATGAGTTGTACTCAAGTCAGTGGCACTTAACAACAGTCTACTGAGGTTCCAGGAGTGTGTTGTGAACTCACTGGGTAAAGGCATAGCCAAAGCAGGTTCTTTTGTATAGATAACTATTGAGTATCTTGATCATAATGAATAGACAATTCAGTCAAAGAAAATAGCACAATAAAGACATCAATACTTGAGAAATTCCAGATTCATGGAGTGACAGCATATTTGACTTGGCTTGAGAACACATACATCATAAATAAGACAGATAGCATATTTTAATTGTTGTTGTTGTTATGGCCATCAAGTTGCTAGTGACTTGTAGCAGTCCTGTGTACAACAGCTCTGAACCCTGTCCTGTCATGAGCCAATGTCACTGTCTCTGACACACCTACTACCCCAGTCACTATGTCAGTCCATTTCATCCACAGTTTCTCTTCTGCATTGTCCCTTCACTTTTCCAGGCATGGTATCATTCTTCAAAGACTGGTCCCTCCTTGGCCCTGTGCCAAAGTATATGAGATTGATCTTTAAAATCCTTGCCTCCAGAGAGCAACTTGGCTCCACTCTCTCCAGGGTAGATCTGTTTGTTCTCTTGGCAGTACATGTTATGTTCAATACCCTTCTCTAGCACCACAACTCAGAGACATCAATTCTTCTTCTGTCATGCTTATTCATTGTCCAGCTCTTTGATGCACAGCAAGTAGTTGTGAAGATCAGCAAGGTGAAATTAACAATCTCTTCTCCATCTATCATTTGGTCCAGTGGTGAGAATCATTGTTTTGTTGATACTGAGCTTCAATCTATAGTGAAGACTGCAGTCCTTGCATTTCTGCAGCAGTTGCTTCAAGTGCTCCTCAGTTTTAGTGACAAGATTGTGTCACTGCATAACCAAGTTGTTGATGCGTCTTCTCCCAATTCTGAAGCCACATTCCACCTTATAAAGACCAGCCTCCCAGTTGATCTGTTCCACATACAGATTGAAGAAGTATGGAGATAGGACACATCCCTTTCCTGATTTTGAACGATGAAGTGTTTTCCTTGCTGTGTTCTGATGACTGCCTCCTGGTCCACCTATAGGTTTTGTATGAACACAATCAGGTATTCTGGGATTCCCATTTTCTCAGAATTAGCCACTATTTGTTGTGATCCACACATTAAAATCTCTTTTCATAGTCAATGAAACACAGATAGACAAGCTTATTACTCTCTGCTTTCAGCCAAGATCCATCTGATATTGGTGATATACAGTACTAAATACACTAAAAATTGTGCTGTGAACATGATGGGAACTCAATAAAATGTATTCAATGAAAGAATGAGTCAGTCATTTCATCTGCTTTAAGTATATCTTTGCATTTAGATATTTTCTCTTTAATAATTTATAAGAATGTGTATTAACTCACTGAAGATGTGCATTTGTATCTGTTTTCAATGCTCCATATGTTTAATCTGTTAATATAACAATTAAAACTATTCCTCCTAATTCATCCAGAGTTTAGTATCCCCAAAGTTAAGAGGTACATAGAAAATATTAATTTCTGCTTGTGTTTTTCTCTTTTCTAGGATCAGATATTGTTCAATGGTTAATAAAGAACTTAACTATAGAAGATCCAGGTAAACCATCATTTTATTGTTGATAGAATTTCTCGTTTTAAAAATGATAATTGAATTTTGGCGATGTGTTTAATATTTGCATACATTATATCATGATCACTACATTTTTAACTAAAATTTCATGTACTTAATCTTTTTCTCACATTTTAATATTACTCCATTTTAAAATCAACTAACAGTTATTATCATTTTTAAACTAAGTGCATAAACATAAGTAATTTTACATGCCATTTATAAGATAGGGAGCCCTGGTGGCCTAGTGATAAGAAGATACGCTGCAATTCTGAAGGCATGCAGTTCAAATCCACCAGATGCTCCATGGGAGAAGGATGGACAGTCTTCTACCATGTAATTTACTGCTTCTGAAAACTTACTGGAAGTTCAGCTCTGGGTTAGTTCCAACTGACCAGTACTCAACAACAACAATATTTATAGGATATTATGATGAAATGTATAAGATAAACAATAACTTGTTTAGTTTGTCAGTTTGCCTTAATTCTGTTTTGGCATGAAGTTTGTAAGCAATAAGTCATTTATAAGTCAAGGTTTTGTTATAATGATTGCCATTAACATGTCTGTATGGATTATGCTTCGTTTATGAGCTTTTAAAATACTGCTCTGGTGACTTAGTGGTAAGGAGTTTAAGTGCATCTCAGAAGCAGGCAGTTCAGATTCACCAGCTGCTCTGAAGGAGAAAGTTGGGCATTCTCCTATGTGACTTATAGCCTCTGAAAATATGTTGGAGAAGTGATCAGCTTTGAATTGGTTCTGACTGGACAAGACATAACAAAAAACAACAGAAGATTAAGGGGTTAAAGCTGTAGTAAAGATGAAGCAGTGATCTTAACACCATATGATTACTAAACAAAGAGGAGAGAGTAATTAGGCAAAGAAACCATAGGTTTACTAAGTTTAGGCTGTGATTGATCTCAACAGCATGCCTGCCTTTTAGAAATTATAGCATAAGAAGTATTATCCTATGCAATAAACCAGATTGACAGTGTCATTAAGAACCAGAAAAACTAATTGCAAAGAATACTATGGTTAAAATGTGTAACTAACATACATTCAAAAGAGTAATTTTTTGAGTGAGTTTAACAGTGAAGATGTACTTCATAAATAGTCTGAGAAATAGGAAAATATTATAAGCTGTATTTTCTTATTACTGTCAAATTGTAGCTTCCCCTAAGCTGAGCCCTAGGGGGACTTCAGAGGCAGAAAATCACACAGAGGGAGATTGCCCATCTTTCTCCCGGAGCAGATTAGAACAGCACACCACCTTCAGGTTGTTAGCACAGCTTTTTACCACCAGGCCATCGGAGCTCCCTAAGGTAATAAATAAGCAGGAAGTATTCTAAAGCTCTCAAGCCTTGACCAGTCAGGCTTCTGGGAAAAGTGGACATATCTGCATTGTGTGGGGCCAAGGTGATTATGCTGCCTTCTGTGCTCTGCCAAAATCTATTTAAGCATTCAGGCCTTGGCCCACTGGGCTTCTGGGAAAAGTGGGCATACCAAGGAACAGGGTAGATCAAGACACAGGTGTCAAGGAGGGGACAACACTGAATCTGTTGGTGGTTTCTATAATTGAGGAAATGTCTTCATCTGCTCTCCTTTCTGTAAAATACTTGTCAGCTACTATTCTTAATCTGAGTCTCCAAATTAAGACAGACAAGGAAGAGGGATTGGCCATCACTTCCAAGATAACATGACTTCAAAAACTCTGTGTCCAATAATAAAGCACACTTAGATTAGAAGATATGGCCACTGAGGCTGATCCCTCAAATATGGAAACACAAAAGAGGAGGAATATTTGTAAGCAGACACTAGTGACTGGAACATGGAATGTGAGAACCATGGTTGTAGAAAAACTGCACATTGTTAAGAAAGAAATAGAATACAAAAATATTGACATACTAGGTATTGGCAAAATGAGATGGACTGGCATGAGACATTTGGAGTCAGAAGATCGTATGATCTGCTATGCCGTAAATGAAAAGGTGAGGGAAAATGGGAATGTTTGCATAGTTAAAAAGTCATTTCTAGATCCATCTTGATATACAATGTTGTGAGTGGCAGAATAATATTCATACACACACAAGGAAGTCCAGTGAATAACACTATCTTTCAAATATATTCACCAACAACTAGAACCAAAGAGGGGGAAATAGAAGATTTATTCCAACATTTGCCTTCAGAAATTGATCAAACATGTAATCAAGATACATTAATAATAATGGGTGACTGGAATGCAAAAGTTGGGAACAGAGAAGGATTAGTATTTGGAGAACATGGTCTTGGGACAGAAATGAAACTAGAGATAGAATGATAGAATTCTGTACAATCAATAATTTATTCATTGCAAATACTTTTTATAAGAAACAAATGCAAGTTGTACACATGGATTTTACCTGATGGTATGCACAGGAATGAGATCAATTACATCTGTAGAAAAAATAGCTGGAGAAGCTCAATATCCGCTGTGAAAACTAGACCAGGTGCTGCTTATGGAACACACCACCAAAAACTCATATGCAAGTTCAAACTGAAGCTAAGGAAAATTAAATCAAATCCAGCAGGAAGTAAAATTTGACCTTGAGTCTATCCCACCTGAATTTCAAAACCATCTCAGGAACAGGTTTGAAGCCTTGAACACTAATGAGTGAAGACCAGATGAACTGTGGGAGGCTATCAAGAATCTCATCAAAGAAGAATGCAAAAGGTCATTACAAAGACAGAGGAGGGAGAAAAGACCAAGATGGATATCAGACAAGACTCTGAATATTGCACTTGAGTGCCGAGAAGCCAAAGCAAAGAGAAGAAATTAGGGAGCTGAGCAGAAAATTTCAATGGGCAGCACAGGAAGACAAAGTAAAGTATTATAATGAAATGTACAATGAGCTGGAGTCAGAAAATCAAGAAGGCCAAACTTGCTTGGCATTTTTTAAGCTGAAGGAACTGAAGAACAAATTCAAGCCTTGAGTTGCAATACTTAAAGATGCTTTAGGCAGAATATTAAATGATCCAGGAAGCATTAAAAGAAGGTGAAAAGAGTAAACAGAGTCTTTGTACCGAAAGGAATTGGCGGACATAGAAGAATTTCATGAAACACCTATGAGCAATTTGCAAAAAACAAGGGCCCAGGAATTGACGGTATACTGATTGACATGTTTCAACAAACAGACACTGCCCTGGATGTGCCAAGTTGTGCCAAGAAATCTGGAGGACAACCAACTGACCAACAAACTGGAAGAGATTCATATTTGTTCCATTCCAAAGAAAGGTGACCCAGCAGAGTGCAGAAGTTATTGAACAGTATTATTAATATCACATGTAAGCGAGATTATGCTGAAGATTATAAAAAAAATGACTGGAACAGAACATTGATAGGAACTGCCAGAAGTGCAGGCTGAGTTTAGGTGAATTGGTGGTACTAGGAATTTTATAGCTAATGTTAGATAGATCTTGGCTGGAAGAGGAGAAAATCAGAGGAATGTCTATCTGTGTTTCATTGACTATGCAAAGGCATTTGACTGTGTGGACCACAACAAACTGCGACTGACTCTGAGAATGGGAATCCCAGAACACTTGGTTGTGCTTAAGTGAAACCTATACTTGGACCAGAAGGCAATCGTCAGAACAGAGCAGGGAAACACTGCAAGGTTCAAAATCAGGAAGGGTGTACAATAGTGATATGTCCTATCTCCATACCTTTTCAATATATATGCAGAACAGATCATCTAGGAGGCTGCTCTCTATGAGGAGAAATGTGGCATTAGGATTGGGGGAAGACTCAACAATCTGCATTATGCAAATGACACAAGCCTATTTGCTGAAACTGAGGAGGACCTGAAGTGTTTGCTGCAAAAGGTCAAGGACGGGAGCCTTAAGTATTGATTGAAGCTCAATATCAAGAAAACAAAGATTCTCACCACTAGGCTGATTGGCAGCATCATGATAGATGGTGATGTAATTAAGATTGTTAACAGCTTCAGTTTGCTTGGCTCCACAATCAGCAGTCTTGGTTATTAAAAGATGGAAATTAAAAGATGAATTGATTGCATTGGGAAAGCCTGCTGTCAAGGACCTCTCCAAAGTACTAAAGAGCAACTGTGTTATTCTGGAGACTAAGGTATGCCTGATCCAGGCCATAGTCTTTGCAATTACTTACTGTGTGTCCGAAAGCTAGACAATGGCTAGGGATGATAAAAGGAAAATTGATGCCTTTGAGTTGTGGTGCAGAAGAAGAGTATTGAATATACCATGGACTGCTAGGAGAACAAACAGGTTCATCCTGGAGAAGGAGAAACCAGGCTGCTTCTTGGAGGCAAGGATTCTGAAGCTTTGTCATGTTGCAAGAAAGGACCAGTCCTTACAGAGAGACCTCATGCTTGGGAGGGTAGAGGGAAAGCACAAGAGAGGAAGACACTCAATGAGATGGATTGATTGAGTCACTGGGGTTCTGGTGCTAGGTGTGTCAGAGAAAATAAGGTGGCACAGGATAATGTTGGGTTTAGGGCTGTTCTACTTAGGGTTGCTATGAGTCACAAGTGACTTGATAGCACTTAACAACAATAGTAGGAAGTAATAAACTGAAATTGCTGATTCAGTGATAAAATTCTCCCCTTCTGTCCAGGAGACCAAGGTCTGCATCCTATCTACCGTAACTCATGTAGTTCCATCACCTGTCCATCACCAGAGGCTTGAGTTTTACTAGGATGTGAATGTTCTATTCTCTAGTTGATTGTTCTAAGGAGTACATACCACCCTAGTGTTCTTGTTTACCATAAGGACACATCTATGTTTGGCTAAAAATTAAGATATAGTAGTAAGTTCAGTTCTGTTCCTGAAAAGTGACTAAGGATGACCCTCTTCCGAGGACAGGAGAAGATCCCTTAAGCCAAGGAGGAGTCTCTGGAGCTGATATATGGCTACATCCAGAAATTTGGAGTGGAGACCATTGAGTCTCTAGCCTTAGTTCGGTGACTGCAGGGCAGCAAAGG